TAAGAAGAAGAAGAAGAAGAAATAATTCATGTAATCTGGTGTCAAGAAGCAGAGGTGTCACACGTTAAAGGGAAACAAAAATGTCCTACTTTGCTCTTCTCCTTCGCGGTCAGCATCACCAGCTCATCCTACTTCTCCCTCCTCCATCTTCTTATCATTTTCTCCTTCCTGAGAATTCAATTTTAGTATCTGTAAAGAAACTAGCTAGACAACCATCGCCACATGGAGTATATACCCACTGGTAAACTCTGTTCCAACTACACAGCAGAGATCGTCTCACTAGAGCAGGAATGCCGAAATGTTACACAACACCAGTTCTGACTGCCACTAAGTGGTCATCTTTACTTATGTGCTATCGGTGCTCCAAGCCCTTAAAAATGATAATCTCCCTTACTTAAGATCTGAACATAGCAAAGTGCTGCCCAAAAGTGGACTGTACTCCAGTGGGTACCATCTCACTGTGGCATACAAGGATACGAAGCTACGGATAAAGTTACTAAGAAAGGGGCAGAATGTGAACAGGAAAGAATGCAGTAATTTACGTTAATAAGAAGAAAAGTCTATCTAGTCTATTAGAAATTTACAGAATCTGGCCAAAGATGACTATCACTTATTTGACCAGTATGGGCAGGTCATCAATCTAAGTATCACGCTAGGTAATAGTAGCAGTGGTGGTAGTGGTAGTAGTAGTTGTTGTGGTGTTCATTTTGGTGGTAATAGTCGTACCTGTAGTATTGGTATGTATTGCAGGTGGGGTTTTAATCTATATTAATAAAAATGTTAATTTTCCGAGTTTGTTAAATATAGACTCGGACACTACTGAACCGATTGCTTTCAATTTTTCACACAACGTTGCCTTTGACTCAAAGCATGTTTTGACGTAGCTCCAGCAAAGGTCAAATCGTTATTTGTTTCGTTGCCGGCCCGGATTTGTTTTTAGTTGATTGGCCGGCAACCTTCGACTGCTGAGCAGGGCTGCCAATAGATGACTTTTCCCCCAGGATCAGTCCCAGACATTTTTTTACCGGGCGCTTTCAAATTTTCACACAACGTTGCCTTAGACTCCGCGCGTGTTTGTATGTACGAGTTTTGCACAAACCACGAATGAAGTAGCTCCAGCAACGATCATTTCATTAGTGGTTTCATTGCCGGCCCGGATTTGTTTTTAGTTGTTGGCCACCTTTGGCTCTGTGTGTAACACCGAACTTTACATTATTATATAATTTCATTTCTACTAATTGCTTGAATAGTTGTTAGCGTAGTTAGTTGTAAGCATTTCGCCTTTCACGCGATAGGCGTTCGTTTCCCCGCTGGGTGATATAATTATTTTAGGGAGAGGGGGGGGGGGCCCTAACAGGGTGGCTGCCACGTTTTGTTGTGGTTTATAGCTAGGCTGCATTATCTACGCCTTTTTTTCCCCGCTCGATTTTAGGGTTTACAGCTAGCCTGCGATAACGGCGACGTGATGCTCATTGTTCATGTCACGGGTAATATTCGTTCGCCCTTGAGAGGGCGGTTGGTACGTTGTGTTGTGGTTTACAGCTAGGCTGCGATATCTGACCTAAAGTCTTCGGTAGTAGAGTTGTAGGTATTCCGCACTTCACAAGGATGACCGGTGTTCGATTATCCGCTGAGTGCTAATTGTTATTTTCCCCCTTAAAAGGGCGGTAGGTACGTTGTGGTTTGCAGCTAGGTTGCGAAATCTGCGCCTTACGCCCAAAGACATCCGATTTCAGTAAAGTCCAATTTAGCCTCCCCCTGACGCTTCACTCGATCAAAAACTATTCGTTGCTGACAAAAACTGTTAACTAAGACGGCTTACGGTCCAGTTTTGTTTGGGTCTACACGGATTCCAAGGTTAATTAAAAATCGTCCTTTCGGAGAGGGAGAGATGACAAGTGCGGGTTTTTATTTCCGCTATTTGTGAGTATAGTGTACTTTTTTTTTCAATCACGGAATATTACTGTGGGTTCCACCGCTGGTTAGGTGATGAAGTTTTATGTGCTGTTGTTGTTGTTGTGACGGTGGTGGTAGCAGTGGTAGCAGCAGTACTGGTACTCGATGGGTGATGTGGTAGCTGTTACACTGGCCACATTTACTTCTCAGTACAGATTAATGCTACCCATTTTAGTCTGGGTGGACAGCGATGCCTAGCTGTTGTTGTGACGGTGGTGGTGGCAGTGGTAGCAGTAGTACTGGTAGTCGATGGGTGATGTGGTAGCTGTTACACTGGCCACATTTACTTCTCAGTACAAATTGATGCTACCCATTTTAGTCTGGGTGGACACAGATGCCAAGCTCAATTTACAACAATATTTCGTCAGGCAATGACTTTCCCATCCTTCGGAGAGGATGATATGATTGGTGGATGGGGGGGGGGGGGGGGGGGGGTATACTAGACACAGTTAGCTGAGAGAGCTTAAAATATTATTTTAAAGTTCTCATTTCTTAACTATTTCTATTTTAATAATTTCGCCATGGATGAATTTTCAATCCTTCGGAGAGGGAGATATGACTGGGTCGAGAGGAGAGGAGATGGGGGGATATGACACTGTTACCTGAGAGCTATTTTCTATCCTCTCCATTTCGCCATTCTGGGCCACAGCAACGCGTGGCCGGGTACAGCTAGTAGTACATAAAAACCGACTACTGCAGTAATGGTCGCAGTGATAATACTAGTGGAGGCAATAGCAGTCTTGTCTTGTCTTGTTCACAATTGCCTCACAGCGTAGTGGGGAGTCGCAGTTTTCTATCCTGGGCCAGGTGTGTTGCACGTGTTGTTGTTAGTCCGTGTTGCCCCAGGATCTATTGTCTATCCATCGTACTCTCGGTCTGCCTCTTGCTCTAGGGCAGTAGTGCTGTTCGTTGTATGCTCGTAGAGGCAGTTGGTCGGTTTGCATTCGCATCAAGTGGCCAAACCACTCTATTTGTTGCTTCTTTACGTATTGCAGGCATGGTGTGGTTCCTACAATTGATCTAATGTTCTCGTTTCGAACTCTATGTCTCTCCTTGTGACATTGGCAGCCTTACGTAAGCATCTCATTTCGCACGTCGTGATCTTTTTCTCCTGTGCTCTTGTTAGGGACCAGGTTTGGCATTGGTAGCAGAGGGTTGGTATAAACATGCAATTTATCAGTTGTCGTTTTATTGCCATAGTGATGCTTGAGTGTTTTAGTAGTGGGGAGAGTTGGTAAGTTACTGCGTGGCAATAGCAGTACTTATTAAAATAGTTGTGTTATATTTACCACTTGTTCGGGCTGCGTGGAACATGTGAGTTTTTTGAGCCGGAGATTTCAGGCAGCATGGCTAGTGCAGTCGCCACGAATTGTGCAGGTAGGGATCTTATTTATGTCAGCAAGAGAAGAAATCCACCACCTTACTTACTGAGGGTTCGAGCCCGGGTCTCAAGAATAAAATCGCGACGTCCTTAACCGCTCGGCCATCCTCACCACAAATACTTAGTACAATGGAGCTAGAAGAAGCGGCCGAAAGTTGCAATCACAATTTGACGACTATTTAGATCAGGGGTTCTCAACCTTCCTAATGCCATGACCCTTTAATACAGTTCCTCATATTGTGGTGACCTCACAGCCATAAAATTTTTTTTTTGCTACTTCATAACTTTAGTAAATATATCTTCTTCTTCTTCGTGTTTACCAGCTGTAAACTCTGGCGGAAGGTTCTGGTTGCTTGTCCACTACTGAACTGCAGTCCTGCTCCAGATCCTGAGTGTTGCGTGTGCATCAGTTTTACAGATCTCATTCTCTTGAATACATACTGTTGGTTCTTTGCCTCTCCGGCAGATGCACTCTGACTTCAAAGGAAGCTCCCCAATTAGTCGACTCTTACGACATGCTTTTGGGGAGGCAGTGGGTCTATTCTTATTTTCCCCACAATGGGTCCCCGGAACCCACACGGGGATTGGGGGGGGGGGGTAAAAATGTGTTTTGCGATGGTCTTAGGCGATCCCTGTGAAAGGCTGATCCGATCGACAAAAGGGCAGCGACCCATAGGTTGAGAACCTCTGATTTAGAGAGTTGCAGTTGTGTGATTTGCGGTATTAGTGATTAACGGTGGTGATAGTGATGCCCAGTGCTGCCTTAAAACATAGGCCCACTGGGCACTTGCCCTGGAAACCTCAGGAGCATAGGGGCTCCCATTCTAACCTGTGTCTGCGTTTAATATTACTAACTATTTACATTTTAATTACGTGAAGGGCTGTTGTAGCCGGAGGAGCACACTGGTTTGCATAGGGACCCCCTAATGCTGTTGAGACGGCTCTTGCTTGCTTTGCTAAAAAGAATCAACACGTTCAACTAGCATCCCCCCAAGGCGGGTCTCGCCACCAATTAGCCCTGAAAAGGACTTTGCAGTGTTGATACGATCAAAAGAGACAGGCCCAATTCGTCTACCGGCCAGCCAATAGTCGGCCCGGTCGTCGGATGTAAGACGTAACAGCAGCAGCAGCAACAACAGCAGCAGCCGTAATAGTAGCAGGAACAATGGTGATAGTGGAAACGGCTTTAACCGTTTTTGTTTTAACTTAAACAACAGTATCGCCTTTAAAAAAAAAAAAAACCGGTACAGTAGTGACAGAAGAAGCAGCAATTCTGTTTTAGCAGGGGGATGCGACAATCGTTTGCTGAGAACCTTCGAGATAGTAGCAGTTATCAGAACTCTGACAAATACTAGCACTCCCTATCACACCTCACGTGGTCTCTGGGAATGTCTCGACTTGTATCAACCCGATTTCACGTGTTGGGAAGATACGCTTTGATACTTTGGTCTTGTCTTTTCGATTGCTAGCCGGCGATTTTCCTTTTATGGTCATCCCTAATCCATATATGGACATTGGTTTTAACGGTTTCGGGGAATAGAAGAACTGTCCTTTTTATAAAAGTTACTGCTGCATATATAACTTTCTCCTGAAAAGAAGCATCCTACCATCGTTGAACTTGCAGCTGCTTCATAGACAACTTACAGGGAGCTTAAACAGCAACATGAGTGACGACGAAGTTGCTGCATTAGTTGTGGACAATGGATCCGGCATGTGCAAGGCAGGTTTCGCTGGGGACGATGCCCCAAGAGCTGTGTTCCCTTCCATCGTTGGCAGGCCCAGACATCAGGTTTGTGCTCTTTAATATGTTTACTTGGTTACAAAAGTCAAGTTTTACGCCGTAAACACAGGGGGCATATGATGCTCGATTGAAAGTGCCGACATAACCTTTGCTATTGCATGCAGCCCACCTCATGTCCCATCTATTTAAAAAAACACTTTATTCTCTAGCTGCCTTCCCCCTTTGGAGGGGGGGGGGGGGTGTCTGACCTTATTTTTATGCCCCTGTGGGTTCCTGCGCAAAGATATTCTAGTTATATTATTCTTAGGTTTTCTCAACAGGTGTCCTATCGGACGCCGAATCTCTTCATCCCCTCTTGATTCACTAGAATGAATATATTTAATCCTATCTCTAAGCTCAGCATTACTATTGTTAAAAAGCTTTACAAGTTTCTAAGGCTGCAGAATGTGGCAGTTTTCCTTTGCTTTCCACATAAACAATTGGCTTTAGGCTAACCGGTAGGAACCATTAGAGGGGCCAGGTTAAGCGTGTTAAGCAAAGGGCACCAGGTATTCACTAATGCTGATGGTTGCTTGGTTCCCGGAGCTATGTTAATCGCATCTTGGCGTTTTCGATCCTCTACCAGGGGTTCAACTATCAATTGCGTTGACCACTGGAATAGTGATGTCTGAAATGATAACTGCATAGCAGCAAGTTCTACACACAAACACACACAGGCGAGTGCAAAATATTATCTTTTGCCTATAGTTCATACTATTAAAAAAAGTAAAAAAAAAAACACACACACACACACTGCCATGTAGCAAGCGTGTCGTATAAAGCAATAAATGAAGGTATAGCTGAAATTGGATTTGCTAGGCCGAAGGGCGAAAAATTCTAAACTACACGAAAAGCTGCCAATCGTCTTTTTAAGGGCGACTCCCGCAGCCATATCAACATCATCATCATCAGCAGCACCAGCATAAGGAGAAGAAAAAGAAGAAGAAGAAGAGGGGGATGAGGAGAAGGATAATCAGTAGGTCGTGTAGGAAAATTTCAAGTTTCATTTTATTGTGATTATTGTTTTGATTGTTCTTAAAAGTCTATGGTTAAGCACCAGCAAGGAAATCATAATTAACATTTTGAGAGCATGCATTTTCTCCCTAGCAATATATGGATGTGAGTCGTTGACTATCTTCTAGTCCTTGAGAAAGAAAATAGGGGCTTTCGAGCTGTAATGCTATAGAAAGATTCTCAGAATATCTTGGACAAAGAAAAGAAGACATACTGACATTTTAAAAGATCTGAACATCAAGGAAAATTAGCTTATAAACAGCATCTTGTCTCAGAAGCTGAATTATTTTGATGGATTGGAAAAAATTAAAAGCAGAAGGCATGGTACCAGGAAGGAGGGGCAGGGGCCGACCAACACAAAGGTGGGCACAGGATATAAAAGACTCCTCGAATATGAAAGTGCACTAGATGGGAGAGCTGGCGAGAGACCGAGTTTCTTTCAGGCAGGCTGTGGTGATTGCGACGTACTGCAAAGGACCTGCTTCATAATGATTATTATTTTGATGACATACTTTATATGACCCTCCTCTCGCATTGCTCCAGCCGTTGCTTTCCTTGATGTCCACAACATTCTCAACATTGTTTTAAAACCCCAACCCCCCCCCCCCCAACCCCCACCCCCACATCTCCACGACAATCCGCAGAAAATACTAAACGGTTTCACAAGTTCTCCAGCAACATACATGTTTCAATGGGGTCGCCCATGTGAAAGATGAGAAGGTGGCCCAGAAATCAGCGGGCGGTTCTCTCGTGCTAGAGACAGGGGTTCATTTCTCGTTAAGGGGTTGCGATAGTTTGTAAGTTTTACGGGCAAAAATAAAAATGATAACCTGCACATTTCGTGGCGACAGCACTAGACATGTGATATCAGATCCGCAGGCTCACTACTTTTCTGTTCTAAACAGCCCTTCTTCTTCTTCTCTTCCACCTTGTACCTCAGCGAAGTGTCGGGGGGAGATGTAATGTTCTTCTTCTCTTCCACCTTGTACCTCAGCGAAGTGTCGGGGGGGGGGGGGGGGGTGAGATGTAATGTTCTTCTTTTCTTCCACCTTGTACCTCAGCGAAGTGTCGGGGTTCTTCTTCCTTCCACTTGAGATGTAATGTTCTTCTTCTCTTCCACCTTGTACCTCAGCGAAGTGTCGAGGGGAGATGTAATGTTCTTCTTCTTTTCCACCTTGTACCTCAGCGAAGTGTCGGGGGGAGATGTAATGTTCTTCTTCTTTTCCACCTTGTACCTCGGCGAAGTGTCGGGGGGAGATGTAATGTTCTTCTTTTCTTCCACCTTGTACCTCAGCGAAGTGTCGGGGGGAGATGTAATGTTCTTCTTCTCTTCCACCTTGTACCTCAGCGAAGTGTCGGGGAGAGATGTATTGTTCTTCTTCTCTTCCACCTTGTACCTCAGCGAAGTGTCGGGGGGAGATGTAATGTTCTTCTTCTTTTCCACCTTGTACCTCAGCGAAGTGTCGGGGGGGAGATGTAATGTTCTTCTTCTCTTCCACCTTGTACCTCAGCGAAGTGTCGGGGGTGGGGGGGGGGGGGAAGATGTATTGTTCTTCTTCTCTTCCACCTTGTACCTCAGCGAAGTGTCGGGGGGAGATGTATTGTTCTTCTTCTCTTCCACCTTGTACCTCGGCGAAGTGTCGGGGGGAGATGTAATGTTCTTCTTCTCTTCCACCTTGTACCTCAGCGAAGTGTCAGGGGGAGATGTAATGTTCGTTGATGAGCTCTGATAGAGCACTATTAAGACTGATGTTCATTTCTGTTAGGCTGTTCTTAATGCCATCACTCCATATTTTCCGAGGTCTTCCACTCGCTCTGTACCCGTTGTAACGTTTTAGTGTGGCTTGCTGTGGCGGATAGTACCAGGGCATTCTTGTTCCCTAAAAGTGGTTAATACAGAGAGCAGTGATTAGTGTTTTGGTGCCGGTTTGAACAGAGGATGCTCACCTGTCTTGACAGTCGGAGAATACAGTCAAGGGTAGACGTAAAGGACCCCATATGGATGTGGAAGACAACGGGAAACCTGCCATTTCCCCCAAGTATTCATTGCAAACAAGATTCTTCAGTCATGTGATGAGAAAAGGACCACTGAAAAATATGGTGACGACTGGAAAGATCACTGGTAGAAGAGGCAGAGGCAGGCCAAGAGAAATGATGGTGAATGGCTTAGGACAGTGCATGGAGGAATATCATCTGTAGAATTGACTCAGAACACCAAAGAACAAGATCTGTACAGATGCATTAACGAGACATAGATTTATCTTTCCCAATATTAAAACCGTAGTGTCACCTGTAAAAACACGCCCTTTAGTTATCTGCAAGCCATGGCCGTCTAGTTCTATTGTGCAACAGTTTCAATGTTATCGCTTGCACTTACATACACTTCAGACTGATATTCTCAAGCAAACCATATTATACATTGCTAACTGAACAGTATATTTCACCTTTTACAATAGATAACGTTGCCTGTGCTTGAAGCACTTGAGTAGTTGGGAGGGTGGGGTTCAGATAACATAGACTCTATCAAGTTAAATATATTTTATCTCAACTGGCTTGATTGAGTTTATATAGGTCAGTAGGAGCGTGGCGATTTTAAAGGCGTTGTCAGATATTTTTTGATGATATAAAGGTTCAAGACAAACAATTTTAACGGTTATATCCCAGCATTAAATCCTGTCGTGTTATGATACACGCAAAAATCATGTCTTATGTTAAAGGAAACAAAACTGAATTAAAAAACAAATGTGCTAGCTAGAAAAAAAAAAAAAAAATAAATAAAGGAAACACACAGAGGTTGGGAGCTTAAGAAAATTGTGATGAGGACAACAAGTAATTGTTGCCCTCTGAACAGCAATAAAAAAAAAAGTAAAGTAAAGAAAAGACAGGGTTCTTCTGCGAAGGGACCACAAACTCAAAAGTTCTTGGCACAGACAAAGGATACATGTATTGTGCGTTACATAACAACAGTCTTACTACATGACTATATTCACCTAGGCAAACCACGTGCATGAACGAGTTCTATCTTGAATCGAACAACTATAACTATAATTATCACATTGAACATCTGTTTATTTCACCTAACATAATGTCAGCGTAGTTCACAAACAACAACACATTAACGATCAACACCGTGTCTATACAGGCCACTCATTAAACACCAACTAACATAAATGAAAGTTCGCTTCTAGCGACACAAAATCAAATATCTCTACAAAGTTTAACTACTATAGACAAATTCATATTTAACTATGGAAATATGCCATCATCATGTAGCAGGTCCTTTGCAGAAAGTCGCTCTCATCACGGTCTGCCTGAAAGAAACTCGGTCTCTCGCCAGTTCTCCCGCCTCGTGAACTTTCACACTCAAGGTGTCACTTATATCCTGTGCCCATCTTCGTATCGGTCGGCCCTTGCCCCTCCTTCCTGGTACCATGCCTTCTGCTATAATTTTTTCCAATCCGTCGTGGCGCTTGATATGACCAAAATATTTCAGCTTTCGAGAAAAGATGCTGTTTATTAGCCAATCTTCCTTGATGTTCGGAAATATACCACCGCTATGAAATCAGCCAGGCAAACTGTCATCCCCCGTAATCGCCCGTACCCACGTTGTTTAGCCCAGTGTGCGGAGCCACAACAGCAGGGTGGGTGTCCTGCACTGAGCGACTGCGGGTTTAGTCCGGAAATCCAAACCGAAGCCGTTTTCTGTGTGCGTCGCCTTTTCATAGACATGTGGCTTCCTGAGTGACTAGGTTTCTGTGCAAGCCGAGCTGAACAGTGATCTTTGGCGTCCTGCCACACAAAGAGGAACTATATACCTATAGTGGTAAAGAAGGAATACACATACAAATAATACATGCAACAGGAGAACAGCTAACTTAAACATCCGAAACACGGAGAGAAATGCTACTATTTAACTGACCGTTGGAACAACACCATGCGCAAAATTCATTGAGAAACAGAAGATCAAATGGTTTGGTCAACTCGTTAGAGCAACTGCCAGCACAGGCGCTACACAAGAAAATATCTCATAGGAAAGCAAGTGGTCGACCTAGGAGATGATGGATTGAATGACATTATAGATCTTCGACTCGGAATGACAAAAGCCATTATGGATCGCATTGTTTTTTCCCACGTCGCCTAACGGTGAAGTGTAATCTAATAATGATGATAAAATAATGCATGCGTAATGCTTATGTATAATTTTGTTGTTATGAATTAAACAACTGTTGGTATATACCAATGGATTTAAAATCCCATAATTATCACCATGTACGTGAACACCCTTCTCCCGGCTCGCTAGCGTAGTTGTCTGAACCGGATTGCGCAGTGACCTGGTGAAGAACTCCTTGTGGTCTGGGGGTAGGCAGAAAAGCCACATTTCTCCCAGATTTGCGGTATTTATCATGGAATCAAGGCCGAAGGGTTGCGATATCCATAATACCGAGCCTAAGGGTTAACAACTCATGGCTTCTGGATACTAAAAAAAAAAAAAAAAATACCTTCTCCGCACTTCGCCACCACCAACATTATACTCTTATTCTTCTTGGGTCAGAATGTCTAAAAAGTTTTGAAAAGAATTCTATTAGATAAAAGTAATCGCAATAGCCACCTTTATCACCAACTTGCCGACACAACGAGAGTAACCCCCCCCCCCCCTTTAGGACTGCAGGTTACACCTGACTGGCGTTGCCGTCACCGGTACCTAATTATGACTTCTTTGGTTGTTGAATGAGGTTTTTCTGTGCCATTGAGACTGAGATTTTTCAATCTCAGAATCCTATAGTAAACATTTAGGTAGCAGCGAGGACGGGTGAAACTGATCTATCGACCGAAGTCAATATTTCAATCTTCAATTTAGGAAGTCGGCGTCTGTGTCCTAGGCGTTGTGAAAGAGCTTCGTAATACCGGGGTGCCGGGTTCGATCCCTTGCGCCTTGCGTTGGTTTCGACAATGGTATCGAGAAGCCGACCGTCTAGAGGGCAATGGCAAACTAGTGAAGGTAAATTTGCCTAGAAAAAAAATCACAACAGCCAAAAAATGCTGGCGTTGGTTATTCAATGTCATGCATAGGTTACGTAAGTAACCAACTTACTTACAATTTAGGAGACACAGCTTTTTTGCATGGTAAATTTTTTATGACACAGTGTGAACAAAAATGAAAAATAAAAATAAAAAATGTTTTAATTAATTTTTTTTTCAGGGGGTGATGGTTGGAATGGGTCAGAAGGACAGTTACGTGGGCGATGAGGCCCAATCAAAGAGAGGAATCCTGACCCTCAAGTATCCAATCGAACACGGCATCGTCACCAACTGGGACGACATGGAGAAGATCTGGCATCATACCTTCTATAACGAGCTTCGAGTGGCGCCTGAGGAGCACCCGGTCCTTCTCACCGAAGCTCCACTGAACCCCAAGGCTAACAGGTAGAGACATTTAACTTCATATACTCTTACCGCTATTTGTATTTTTGGGGTTAACAGATAAGATTATTGTTATTATATCTGGTTGTATTTAGTGTTTAGTAGCTAGTTTAAATCGACTCCGGAAAAAAAAAAGCATGGCTCTTGACAGGTGTTTGAAAAGAAATTTGGAATTTCTGGCTCTTTTGACGAATGCGTTTGCTGATCACTGCACTAAACCATGTTCTTTTATAATCTCCTACCCAGATGACGTCGCAGGACAGTCACAAATTGTAGAGGGTGGTAAGACTGGGTTTCCCGGCTTTCTGAGGCTTTTAATGACCCCAAAACATCTAGAACTGACCCTAACCCCAACCATCCTACGTCCCACGAGAGAGTGCAGCCTATGTCCCGCGACTGCATGCAGCCTATCTTAATTTATCTATCTACCACCCGCTGAAATATTAGACTGTTCCGTGACCTGTGGATTTCCCCTGTTTGTTGTGGGATATTAAGAACGCAACCTAAACCCTGTTTGAGACGTTTTTTTTAACAAGAATACCAGAATGCCGCCGATGGTGGTTAAAAAAAAGACCACACATACCTTGTTCGCTTGGCTTTCAGACAGATGTACAAGAGTCGCACCGAGGAAGAAACTGGGATTTTACCAGGTAATATTCTCAGTTAGCAGTGGATACATTACGACCATCATCTTTTATCAAGACGGCACAATATTGAAAACAAAAAGTTTTGCATTCTGTAGGAGAACATCTCATATTTTGAATCAAACAACTACAAATGCCGGAAAGCATGCTGCATTCCTGGGAGTCAAGGAACCGACAGTCTGCATACAGATTAGTCAGATGTGTAAAACGGATGTGCACGCAACACTCAGGTTCTGGAAAAAGTAAAAGATCCAGAGGTGGATGAAGGACTAAAACTTTTTGCCGGAGTTTAAGCTTGTGAACTCGGAGAAGCAGAAGATCTACTAGCACACTTATTTCTGGGCACCACAAAACGGTTACGAGTAACATAAACAGGCAGTCCACTGAGGATGGGTTTAGTAGTAGTAGTAGTACATTTTACCCCACCAGGACAACACACAAGCGAAAAACACCCGATGACATAAAGTGCCACCATGTGGTGGAGGATCACCGTGGAGAGGTCTCAGAAACCGCGTTCAGCCATTTGTCCATACATGTATTTATAGCCGGGCTATATTGCGGCCCCCGGAAAGAGCCAATGTGGGGCTTCAAAACACGAAAAATTGCATCCCACATGGGGATGACTGGTTAGAGAATGAGGATGGGTGTTTAGTTTATGTCACGTTGCCATAGAAAATATCATACAATATAATTCTTTGGAAAGTTTGCATAAACAACAGTCAAGAATTATTTTTCCTTTGTCCAGAGAAAAGATGACCCAAATCATGTTTGAGACTTTCAACTGTCCAGCCATGTACGTGTCCATCCAAGCAGTGCTGTCTCTGTATGCCTCAGGCCGAACTACAGGTGAGATGCCGGATGCTGTGGTCACTTATTGCTTTCTACAATAAGCTAATGTATACTGTAAATTCTTCTGCTGCAGCTCCTTCTTTTCTTTTCTCAAAAGAGCTGTTGGCACAGTGCATTGTGGATTACAGCTAAACTGTCATATACGTGTCTTCCGACCCAACATATCGGATTTCATAGTGTCGCTTTTGGCAACATGATTGTTAAGGTCCATTATTTCTGTCCTCAAAAAAAAAAAGGGGGGGGGGTGGGGGAGAGGGGGGGGGGAATCCCGGAACAGTCTGATCGAATTTTTACCCCAATAGGACATCCACCAAGCGATAAACACCCGATGACACAAAGTGTCACCATGCGGATGGGGATCACCCGTGAAGAAGTCCCGGAAACCCCGTTCAATAGTTAGGTTATACTAGGGCTCCCAGCAAAAGCCGGGGTGAGGCTTAAAAATAACGAGAAAAATGCATACTATAAAGGGAATGGCAGAGATACGGCTTCAGGTAGGTAAAGGCAGGTAAGTTGTACCCCACCAGGACATCACACAAGCGATAAACACCCGGTGACACAAAGTGCCACCATGCGGATGAGGATCCCCCGTGGGGAGATCCTAGAAACCCCTTTCAGCCGTTAGGCCATATTTATGGCCCGGCTATATTTAGGGCCCTCGGTAAAAGCCAGGGTGGGGCTTCAAATAACAAAAAAATTGCATCCCACATGAGGAAGACTTATCAATCCCGGAACTGACTCACTGACTCTCTACCTCACCAGTACATCACACAAGCGATAAACAACCGATGACACAAAGTGCCACCATGTGGATGAGGATGAAACCGCGTTCAGCCATTAGACCATATTTATGGTCGAGCTATATCGCGGCCTCTAGCAAGAGTCAGAGTGGGGCTTCAAGTAACGAACAAGTTCATCCCACAAAGGAATGAGAGGAGAAAGCTTTTTCCTTGAACAAATCAGGGAGATAACCAAGACAGTCCCTTAGATTATTAGAACTGTATCTTTGAAACGTCGGCTCTGTGGCTAAATCGATGCGAACGCTTCGTAATGCCTTGGTGCCGGGTTCGATCCCAGCAGCGGGCCATGCGCATTGGTTTCGACAGTGGTATCAGGGGACCGACCGTCCAGAAAGCAGTGGCAAACTACTGAACGTAAATTTGCCTAGTGAAACCACACAACAGTCAGGGGCAGCTGGGGCTGGTTCTGCAACGTCCTGTAAAGGATACGCAACTAACCATTACTAAAACAGCCAATGGTCCGGTACAGCTAACTCGGTCAACAAACTTCAGGAAGAATACTTCTTATTTTGTCAGTATCTGCTTTGTGCTGTAGGCGTCGCACTTTAATCTGATGATAGGGAGCCACATCGCAAGGCGTTCAGTTGGTCTTCAGCTGCCAATGACTTTTTTAATCCATTACCTTCTAGTCTCTCTTAGTTCTTGGTGTCTCCATTGCCATGTTGTACCTTCTTGCTGCCTTGAAGAATACTAGCCTCACTAAACATTGACAGTGGCCAATCACAGACGAAGATGTGCAGCTGTTCTATGGTTCTGTTTATATTTCTCTAGAGGTTGAACAGGATTTTAGTTTTTTTGCCCTGATATTGAGTATGGATTACTGGAGAGAAAAAGGCTCCGAAACTTGAATGGCTGAGCGTGGTCACAGCAGGTCTCTGCGTGTGAGTTCCGTGGCCCTCTTTGGGTAAGGGGGTTTTTAAGGGATAGGAGGGGTAGATCTAGTGCTCCTAACAAGCATGCCGTAAGAGGTGACTCATTAGAGATTTCCTGTGTTGTGCCGAAAGGGCAGGTATTGCAGCCTGGTTCTAAACTAATCCCATTGGGCCAGCTGCCCTTTTCCTTTACTGATTTATCGCGTTTTATTCACAAGCGGCTTCAACTTACTGCCTTAATGGCTAACACAAATTTAAGATAACGCAGACAGATAGACGAAGCTTTAATCGTTAGCAGATACACTTGAAATTGTTTACTCCGTGACAGCGTGCATGATCGTTGGCTTAAAGTTAAAAATACAACTGGTAAGCTAACTTGACGTTGTATATTCTCTACTTGCCAAGGTATCGTGCTGGATTCCGGTGATGGTGTCTCACACACAGTGCCTATCTACGAAGGGTATGCCTTGCCACACGCCATCATGCGACTGGACTTGGCTGGTCGCGATCTCACAGATTACTTGATGAAGATTCTAACTGAGAGAGGCTACAGCTTCACCACAACTGCTGAAAGAGAAATCGTCCGTGATATCAAAGAGAAGCTCTGCTACGTGGCTCTGGACTATGAAAACGAAATGCAGACAGCAGCTTCATCGTCAAGCCTGGAAAAGAGTTATGAGCTTCCAGACGGCCAGGTCATCACCATTGGCAACGAACGTTTCCGTACTCCGGAAGCTTTGTTCCAGCCTAACTTTTTGGGCATGGAGTCTGTTGGTCTTCATGAAACTACATATAACTCCATTATGAAGTGCGATGTTGATATCAGAAAGGATTTGTACGCGAACACAGTCTTGTCTGGCGGAACCACCATGTATCCCGGAATTGCTGATCGCATGCAGAAGGAGATAACTTCGTTAGCTCCAAGTTCAATGAAAATTAAGGTGATTGCTCCCCCTGAGAGAAAGTACTCTGTATGGATTGGTGGGTCCATTTTGGCTTCGTTGTCAACATTCCAACAAATGTGGATCTCTAAACAGGAATACGACGAGTCTGGGCCTTCTATTGTACACAGGAAATGCTTCTAAACCAATGAGAGGACACAATGAAGTATAAATAAAGACGCGAAATAGTTCCAAATATAAAGAAAGCACAACAATAATGGGGTCACTTTCTTTCAACTCTATAAGGTTTCGCAAAAAATGTCCAAGAAAGAAAAAGACCACAGTGAAAACCGAGTACTTATACACTTACAAAGAACCTTTAAACACACAATAATTAACACTGAAGAAGCCAGATTTCGCCAGTAAACTCAGGCCAAATGTGAAATGTTCAAAAGCACAGCACACAGTGGTAGGATTCAAGGCAACATTGAATTACACATGTACATTGTTTTTGCCTTAAAGAGTTTAGAAATTTATCTGATATACCAGTAAATTTTTTTAATGTAAATTAAAAAATGTGCGGTACCACATTTAGAAATTAGGAAACTAGGGAAAACAAAGGATATGATCCATTAATTTGGCTATGAAACTAAAAAAAATGTGTGAATAGCAAAGCACTGCCTGTGAAGATGCTATGTATATTACTTGAAGAATCACTTGTATGATTTACTCTAAAGTTGGTTTGGATTATTCCAATTATCTACAAAACATAGCAGACCCACAAGACCATTATGGTGAAATGATTGCTAGAAGTAACTTGCTTTGATAAAACTCAGAAAGAACATAAATCGCAGATCGTTTCAACGTTGTGACCATATTGGTTGGTATACCATCTAGCCTTCATCTGTTTAATTTGTAGGTAGGCAATCCCCCACAGTTAATGTTGCTTCTAGAGTTTTGTTTGCCTCTTAGAAAAGAGTGTATGCACATTTTCTGCAATGCCTTTTGAACAAAATACTCAGTTTTTACACTTGTGTTTTTATACTGAATTGAAAACAACACAAAAACAGAGAAATAAACGTTGTTTCAAATTATGTTTAATATTAGTCTGATTTCTTTGGTTAGTTAGTTAATTAATTGATCGATCACCCTCATCCCAGATCGGACAAGTCCATAAGCTGATAACACCAGTTATATGTTGGTTTGCTATTCTTCTTTAGCTACCTTACAGTGTTCATGTCTGGCAACACCTCTTTTGATATGAAATTATTTTGACCATATCAATTTTGCCGAGTCACCGTCGACACCTGACCTGCCTCTCCGAGAGCTGTGCTAACACCGGTAACGTCCACTGTTTTCTTGTGCCTAACGTGCCCTTTCCAGCAAGCTTGGCCACATGTTCATTCTTTCTTACCCCAGAAAAGATATAAAACGTAACGAAAAGTTTATCAGCAAGCTTTAAATAATAATAAAAAAAAAAACACACACACACACACACACACGCACACAAACAAAACGTCAACGTTGCGGCTATGGAGCCTTCATAATCACATACATAAATCGGCTGGCACAAAAATGAATATGATTCCTGTCAGAGAAAAATTCATCAGACACTGCAACCATTGTCGTCCAGCCGCGATCCTCTCTCGGTTTTCTTAGGTATGTTCATGGAATCAGTTAGACAGGACGCATGTTTGATTTCTTTGGATGTCCCTAGTTTTGGATATTAGAATTGCTACATTTTGACTTTTATTTTGCTACTGCTGCTGTTGCTGTTCCGTTTTCCTCAATCAGAACTTGATTCTTGGCTGAAAATAAATAAACAAATAAAACACAAAAAACGCAATTAACAAACATTTGTAAACAATGGGTGCAACAAGAGGCAGAATGTACTACTGGATACAAGACTTCCTATCCCACAGAAGAGCATCCGTAAAACTGGATGGAGTGCATCTGCGACGTTGGGAAGGTTGAGAAAACTGCTTTAGAAGACGAAGCAATTCTACATGCTGAAAAAAATAATTAAGATGATGCCAAACAACCCACTGCAGCCAGGACAAAGAACCGTATAAAGAACACAAGCCTAAACCCTCTAACTAAAGAATTTTGAAAGTTACATTCTTTACTACTAAACCAACAATTTGCCCCCAAAGAGCTATTTTTCGATCTTTCGTACTCTGAATTAATGACGTTCAATCTTTCAGCCTCTATCTCAGATTATGAAACAAAGATGCTGAGCCCAATTTAGTAAAGAAAGCACTCATAATGAAACACCCCAACAACATGTTTCGGACAGCTGGACGAGAATCTACATGGATGGATCAGCTAAAGGGGCAACTACGAATGGTGGAGCATGTGTTTACATTGAACACCCAGGTTGCCACTACTGTGTCCCTGGCAGTCCCCACAGGACGAACTTGTTTTAACTACAAGGCAAAGCTCTCAGCCTACTGATGGCAGCACAGGATGTGAACAAGCTGCAAACTGTCATACAGGCTCTAGAGTCTAAAACTTGACAGCGCACTACAAAGTCTAACAAAGGAACTGGCTATGTTGTCAAAAAAGGCAGAAACTCACCTGTAGTCGATTCCATCTCACGGTGGCATCAAAAGCAATGAAAGCGCTGACGCTTTAGTCATGGAAGGCAGCGGCAAACCACAAATCTGTCAGCAATTATCTATTAATAACAAACACTAAAAAAAAAAAGAGCGACCATGCATTGCTAATATAATATAATATAATATAATATAATATAATATAATGTAATATATAATATAATATAATATAATATAATATAATATAATATAATATAATATAATATAATATAATATAATATATATAATATATAATATAATATAATATAATATAATATAATATAAAATAATATAATATAATATAATATAATGTAATGTAATGTAATGTAATGTAATGTAATGTAATGTAATGTAATGTAATGTAATGTAATATAATATAATATAATATAATATAATATAATATAATATAATATAATATAATATAATATAATATAATATAATATAATATAATATAATATAATATAATATAATATAAAATAATATAATATAATATAATATAATATAATATAATATAATGTAATGTAATATAATAAAGTATAACATAATATGCGTTGTGCCTAAAGCTCAAGGAGAAATTTCTTCTTTCTTCTTTCTTCCTTTAAATTTTTTCTGTCTTCTACTTCTTTGATGCTGTAAGCCATGTATATGCATAATACGCCTGAAGTCTCGGAAAGGGTCCTTTACTTTACCTTCTTACAGTCATTATGGGGGACCTTAAGAAACGAAATGTTTTTTTGGACTAATTGGCATTTGCTGGGCGATATGGTCAGCATCATGCTGACCGCCTATACTTCCCAGGGCTCCACCTGGTATCCATTCAAGGCTGGGTCGACTTGGGAGCCAGGGTCATTAAAAAAAGAATCAGCTACCGCCAGGGTCCGAACCCACGACCTTCCGATGACTGACCGACGAACAAATGTGCTGCACAACTTGATCACTTAGCTGCCAGCTAGCTGCCAATGGTTCTGAAAAACGACAGAGAAGAAATGTCAACGAATAATTACATCACCATGATCGTCATTAAATGCTTTGCCAGCTGTCGTAGGCGTTCATACATCTCCACAGATCTCTATCCTTTGTGTTCTGGATCAATCCCACTGATGATATTCCTCCACGCCACTGTCTTAAGCCATCCTTCCTCCATTCTTTTATTCTGCCTCTGCCTCTTCTACCAGTGATCTTTCCAGTAGTCACGAAATTTTCCAGTGCTCCTTTTCTCATCACATGACCAAAGAACTCTGTCTCCTTCTCATGGTTGTATATTGTGTTCTACTTTCATTAGCCATTTCCAGACACACCGGGCACATAAAAAGACTTATCAATCAACAACAAAAACTGTCACTATTAGTCTTAGGACGCGGGGGTTCATATTGAGGGAAGGATCTGAGCACCTATAGACATGTCCGGAGTGCAATGATCATTTCCTAACTAACTAACTAACTAACTAACTAACTAACTAACTAACTAACTAACTAACTAACTAACTAATTAACTAACTAATTACCTAATGGACTAACTAACTAACTACCTAACTAACTAACTAACTAACTAACTAACTAACTAACTAACTAACTAACTAACTAACTAACTAACTAACTAACTAACTAACTAACTAACTAACTAACTAACTAACTAACTAACTAACTAACTAACTAACTAACTAACTAACTAACTAACTAACTAACTAACTAACTAACTAATTACCTAACTAACCAACTAACTAACTAACTAACTAACTAACTAACTAACTAACTAACTAACTAACTAACTAACTAACTAACTAACTAACTAACTAACTAACTAACTAACTAACTAACTAACTAACTAACTAACTAACTAACTAACTAACTAACTAACTAACTAACTAACTAATTAACTAACTAACTTACTAGCCATTTCCAATCATTGTTATTTAATCTGGCAGTCCAAGCTGTTCGCAACATTTTTCTCAAGAACCACATCTCAGTTGCCTTCAAATTCTTTTTAATTTGTTTGTTCACACTCCATGATTCACGACCAAACAACAGAACAGACTCGATGTAACATTTCAGTACACGTTTTCGTAATTAAATATCATCATAGTTATCAACATCATCTGTTCATCATCATCATTACTGACCTGCTGTGCCATTACATGTTAGGTAGGGCTCACAGTACATTCTCCAGCCCGTTCTATCTTGTTCAATTTCTTCGATAACATGGAAGGAATCCAGCCCACCCCCTCTGACCTTTTACTTCATGGTTCGTTTCAGGTTTTTCTCTGGACATGCTCGCTTCACCGGTCCTCTATTTCCCATGCAAGTGCTTTTTGGTGATTCTGTTGTAGTTTCTCATCAGGATGTATTTACAGTCTAACTATCTATCTATGCATAAAGAGATTATGCTTTAAATAATGTTTGTTGTGCAGATGATACAGTATTAATAACGTAAAGCAAAAAGACAATTGTGTAAAGTAAAGAGTCATTTTCACCCTACTGGTACATCGGGGAGTAATGTAAAGAGATATTTTAACCCTATTGGTGCATCGGGGAGCAAAGTAAAGAGTAATTTGCACCCTACTGGTACATCAGGGAGTAAAGTAAAGAGACTTTTTAACCCTATTGGTGCATC